CCTTGCTCAGGAATGACAGGTCTATAATCAGAGCTGATGAGAAGGAAGGGACCAAGAGGAAGACTGTGAAAGTGATGGAATTATTGAAACACGAAACCTAAATATTGTGACAAGGAGGTTTTTTTTAGCAGCTGGGAGTGTGGCTGGCAGTGGTGTACCAAGGAGCTTGGCTGCTGAGTGCATGTGTGTTTGGGGGAGGGGTGGGAAGCTGGGAGAAAGGGATAAGAGGGCTTGGCAGCTGGGCAGGAACAAATTCAAAGTGCTTAGTGATAGAAATGTAGCCATGTTAGTCTGGTGTAGCTGAACAAAAAACAGGACTGTGTAGCACTTTAAAGACTAACAAGATGGTTTATTAGGTGATGAGCTTTCGTGGGCCAGACCCACTTCCTCAGATCAAATAATGGAAGAAAATTGGCACAACCATATATACCAAAGGATACAATAAAAAAATGAACACATATGAAAAGGACAAATCAAATTTCAGAACAGAAGGGGGATGAGGGGGGGAGGTAAATGTCTATGAGCTAATGATATTAGAGGTGATAATTGGGGAAGCTATCTTTGTAATGGGTAAGGTAATTGGTGTCTTTGTTAAGACCTAGGTGTAAAGTGTCAAATTTAAGCAAGTGAATAGTTCTGTTTTAAAGTGCTTAGTGTGAGGTATATAAAAGGCCTTGGGGCTTAGCAGAGGGGACACAAGGAGATGTGACAGCTGGAAGCAAAGGTCTGGCTGAGAACTCTTGTGCCTGGCTGGGGCAGGAAGGATCAGCACTTCCTTTGTCTCTATGTTCTGCACACTTGCAGTTGGCAAATGATGTTCTCTAGTCTAGGTCCTTTTGTGCCCACAGCCAGAGGCAGATGAAGATTTTGCGGGGCCCAGGGCAGCACAATTTTGCAGGCCCCCCCCTTTGACACGGCGCATGCGCGGTAGCACCACAGTGCATGCGTGGGGCTTCTTGAAGCACGGGGCCCGGGGCGGCCGCCCCACTTGCCCTGCCCTATATCCGCCACTGTCCACAGCTATTAAATATCCCTGTGCATTATTCAGCTTGGTAATTACACAGCTTTCAAAAGGCTTTTCTCTTTCAGGTGGCAGGTGGCCACCTTTGACAGGCACCTGTGTAAAATGGAACAAACGCTCGATGAACGGACAGCAATAAACACCCGCTGCAGTGACAGAGGGGAAGGAAGGGCTTGTGGCTAAGACGGAGACACTGGAAAGGTGGGTGCAACTCCAGCACTTTCTGTGTGACCTTGGACAAGTCCCTCAGTCTCTATGTGCCTTAGTTCTGCATCTGAAAATGAGACAAATACCGCGTCCCTTTCTCTATTTAGATTGTAAGCTCTTTGGGGGCCAGGGACTGTCCCGTACTGTATGTATGTGCAGTGCCCAGCACAATGGGAACCATGATTTTAGAGGGGTCCTCTCTCTGCTATTATTTGCTATTGCAAATAATAATCATCAGTGCTGAGTGCACCTTTAATATGTGCCAGTTTTGCTGTAGCTGACTAGATCAGGTTACTTCAGCATGGGCAATATTATTCTACACTTACAAGTGAAATATCTTGAATACAGCAAATACCAAAGTAAAATTCTTTAGTTCTCTTAGGCCACTACGAAGGATTTAAGGGTGAGCGCTGTAATGTAACAATCCTAAGGACTTAGCAAAGTGTCAGTATAGGCAAGTAACATTTTTTTAAAACTGAATGTCTCTGCCCTGACTGAAAATGTTCATGCGTCAGGTCACTCTGCTACACTTCTCTTTCCAGCTACAGTATCCACAACAGAGGGACACACAGAATTGCCATAGCACCAACTGTGTGAATCACAAATGTGTGTTTTATGTGCAATGAAGTTAGTCAGCACTTATCAGCTACTGGATCAGTGTTGGCAATAGAACAAATGCCAACTTGCCACTGAAATGTTTAACTCCATTAACCACAGCCAGGGCATCCCTCTGTATTGTGTGATAGCTCATTAAGTAGCTAGCTAGTTATAGGATTGCCAGGTGCCCGGTTTTGAACCGGACAGTCCATTATTTGAGCTTTCTGTTCAGGAAACAAAATGAGAAAATATAAATGTCTGGTATTTTCTAAATAAGATGCAATGTAGATTGTGATGTAATGTCAAGTGTGTCCAGTATTTTTGTTGAAACGATCTGGCAACCCTAGCTGGATAGTATGCAGTGTTATGGCCATGTTGGTCCCAGGATATGAGAGACAAGGCGAGTGAGGTAATATCTTTTATTGGGTCAACTTCTGTTGGTGAGAGAGACAAGCTTTCGAGCCACACAGAGCACTACCGCACCTGAAGAAGACCTCTGCAAAGCTTGAAAGCTTGCCCCTTCACTAACAGAACCTGATCCAATCAAAGATATTGCCTCATCCACCTTGTCTCTCTCAGACAGACAGACAGACAGACAGGTCTGATGGTTTATAGGTTGAAATTTTTTCTTTCTTTCTTTCTTTCTTTCTTTTCCATTTTAGATGCAATGCCTTTCAGTGTTCATGTAAGCACTTTGAGACAAGATATCATGGATTTGTCCAAGGCTTTTAGATGCAATGCCTTTCAGTGTTCATGTAAGCACTTTGAGACAAGATATCATGGATTTGTCCAAGGCTGAACAAGAATAAATACTATTTCTAATATCTAGAAGGATTGTCTAGAATGATTTCATTGCTCCCTGATGTCTTTGCAAAATTCCATCCCCAATAGCCCAGGATAACTACATGCTTTAACTCTTAAGATTTGCCTGACAGCCATTGGAGAGACTGACTTACCTGCGGTTCAATCAGCCAGCTTTCCTCTCCTCTCTGAGTTGCTTTGGTATATTTAAAAGCAGAATAAAGAGGAGTCTTGTCCTCCGTATTGTAGAGCGTTGCGAAGCGTGGCTCTTTGTTGTACTGCTGACAGATTTTCACATGGAAAGGCTCTGTAAATCCTTCTGGTGGGGTTTCTCCATAAAAGAACTCATTGCATTCAGCAAAGCCAACTTCGTCCACTCCGACAACCCGGCCCTGGGAAAAAACAGGGAAAGCTAAGATGCAAAGTGAAAATAAAATTGTCATCTTCATGGTCCACCGCCTGGAAAGAGGACAGCCCAGTCTGTCTCTGCTGGATATGATGCAGGACCTGTGCTCTGCGTAATGCACTGCAGTGAAGCCAGAAAGTGATTGGAATCTGACTGCAGCGTACAAGGGAAATGAAATATGAAACCGCAGCCCTTCCCTGCAGGGAGCGAGAGCTTACTGCAGAGAGCGCATTATGAAACGCAGCATGGGCAGTGCTCTGCTGCCACACACCACCCAAACAAATGACATAGGCCCCAGCAAATCGCACAGAGCTTATTCAATGCAGGAGGGAGCTCAGCAGCAGTTCTGGTTCCTTTGTTGTACATCATCACCTGACCAAGGCCAGATTGCTGCTTAGAGCCACACGCTGTCTGGAGGGGGAAATGCCTAGGAGGAATCTGAGCAACCTCAGACAGAATTCCCTCTGGAGCGCCAAAGAGATAAAGGGGTTATATTATTATGCCAACCCCAGCACCTAGGAGCAAGGGTAGCATGCCCTCCATATGCTGGCTAGTGTATAGAGGGTCAGCAGGAGCTTGGCACTACCTGGAGCCCACTCATCTTTGCCACATTTGGGGTAGCTATGCCCCTGACACAGCCAGAGACCCCGAGTCCTGTGCTCCCCTGCCATGTGCGTGGCTCTGACGTAGCAATCTAGGAAGAGGTGACCTCCCTGTCCCCTTTTGCACCTGAGCAAGGCAAACCACAATTGCTGGCCCTTAATGGCGAAAAGGCTCAGGCCCAGAGGTCTCACCTGGCTTTTGCAGACCCTGCATCAGGACTGATTAACTACAGGCAGAAATGTAAGAGGGTGGGAGTCGTGGGTGTTCAGCATCTCTGAAATCAGGCCCCTTTCCCAGTCTTCGTTTGGACACGCCAGAATTAAGGCTCCCATAATGTGTGGCTATGGCCAAATCTATAGATCCTGCGACAAAGATGGTATTTAATGGGAAAACAGACACCTTTCAGCACTGTGACCAATGGGCATCTGCATAAGGCACTTTGGTGAGTCTCATGTTTGCCCTGTGTGATCGGCTGTGCTAAGGAGTAGACTATCCTACCAATGCTTCCACTGGAATCTCCCTGACATTCCTGGGACTCCAAAGGGCTTACAGAAGAGACTGATGCAAATATCTGTCCCTGTAGCATCCATTTTGTACAGCTGAGAGGGAGCAGGCCAAATCCATCGGCAGCTGAAGAAGTGGCTTTTGATAAGGGGCCAGTGTTGACAAGGAAGGTCATGGGAGCATGACAAGAGATGCACAGAACTGAAAGTGAAGGCTAGGTGTGGCATGTTGACATGAAGTGGACTACCTGGCTAGGGGGAAGAAGGAGAAAGAAGACTGTCCACAAGCAAAGAGACAAGATCAGATGCATCATCAGACCGTTTATTTTCAGACCAACGTGCGTAGAGAGCATGAGATGACAGCCAAGAAAACACAGGCTCTCCTGATGAGGGAGATGGATGGGTCTGTTTGTAAGCCCCTCACCAAGACACCAAAAACATACCCCCACTTAAATAATGATATTCTATGCTGTTATAACAACCTGCATACAAGCATCTCAAAGCACTTTCACAATCCCCCTGTGAAGAAGGAAAGAATTAGCCCATTTACAGAGGGGAAAACTAAGACACAAAGGGGTGTGTTTGGGGTCACACAGGAAGTCTGTGGAAGAGCTGAGAATAGCCCAGCTTTACTAATGAGCCATTCTACTAGACCATCCTTCCTTTACATGGGGAGATGACATCTAGGAACAGTACCAAGGCAGGAAAATCTATTGGCACCTTTATTGTGATATTGTCCAATGGGGGAGTCAGAGGAAGGCTGAGAAAACAATCTAAAAACAACAGGAAACGTTGTAAATGGGTTGGTTCATTTTCAGATATATGCCTGGTTGCCCAACCGTGACAGAAAGTATTAGTCACAATTAGAACAGGAGAGATCATGGAAAAGCGAATGCAGATACTATTGGTCTGAGCCCAAAAAGCAGAGAACTGGCCTCAGCTCAAAACCTGGATAGAAAATCTGCAAAAAGGCACCTGGGACATGAAGAATTGAAACCAGACATGAGGTGCTAGGGCTTTGCTTAAATTTCAGGTTTACACATATATAAGTGAACCCAGTAATATTTTCACAAGTGCCTAAGCAGCTTAAATCCCATTTTCACTGGGCACCCAAATGTCTAAGTCACTTTTGAAAATGGAACTTAGGCTCCTAAGTCATTTAGGTGTTGTGAAAATGTTACCCCTAATCAAGGGTGAATTATACAGGCTTCAGTACAAAACCCCTGGAGGGAGAGGGTGGTGAGTATGTGGGTGGGTGTGTATGTGTAAGACAAATGGGACTTGTTGATAGGAATAGGTTTCCCACTTGTTCTCCAGAGTCCCGGCTGTCATTAAAAAGCCTTTAGCAGAGCTGGTTGCAAAGAAAACTGTGAACATGTGACCTGAGTGTAGCTGAGGCAGAGATAACATCCTCATGAGTTTGCACAGAGAACTGCCCCATTAAATTAATGTACTCTGAGGTCTGGTCTACACTGCAGAGTTAGGCTGACACAAAGTAGCTTATGTCAACCTAACTACGGAAGTGCCTCTACACGTAAATTTCGCTCTAGCCAACAAAACTGCCCCACTATGCCAACTTAGTAACTCCACCTACACGAGCAGCACAGAGTCACTGTCAATGTAGTTTGATTGAAGTCATGTCAGTGTAGACTCTGCATGGCTTATGCCAACTCTTACTGGCTTTCAGAAGCCATCTCACAGCACCTCGCGCTGACAGTACAGTCAGTACAAGTGTGTCTGGTGAGAATGGGCACTGCTAACTCAAGGAGAAAAGTGCAGACTTACACAAGCAATGTCATTACTGTGGTGGGTATATGCCAACATAAGTTAGGTCGACTTCATTTGCTGTGTAGACATGATCTAAGTTACTGCTCATTTTGAGTAGGCCTTACAGAAGTTACAGATAGGGTTGCCAGATGGTTGAACCCCCCCCCCCAAAAAAAAACCCGGGGAAAATATTCTGTTGAGGGGGGGAAAGGAGGGGCAAAGTTGCTGAGGGAAAAAAAAAAGGATTCGGAGACTTATTAAGAAAAAAAAATTAAATAATAAAAACAGCATTAAAACAGCATGGCCCCTTTCAGAGTGAGTGCAGAGTTAGAATAGGGATAGGAACAGGAGAGTGGTTGAGCACTAAGACCCAAGGAAGGCATTGCATCCCCATGGTCTTTAGGCTTTTAGCCAGCAGCCATTTTGTGTTCTTGTTCAAGCCAGAACTTAGCTTCCCTGCGGAACCAGGTTAGCATGGGGTCCGGGGGCAGGGGGTGTTGGAGTCTGGGGGCTGGGCCCGGGCCCTAGAATTGCCAGGTGTCCACTATTTTCGCCTCCTGGCTGGGAAAAAATAAAAAAATACTGGACATTTTAGGTGTCTGGTATTTTCTGAATTTTTTTACCAGACAGGAGGTGAAAATACCGGACTGGCTGGGTCAATACCAGACACCTGGCAACCCTAGTTGCAGAGAGGACATAACTGGATCCCTGATCCCAAAGATGAGTCTGAGGTCTCTAAGGTTTGGGGAATGCTGATGTACAATTTGTTTTCTGGCCTGAACTCAGGAATGTCTGTGTGGGTGGGTATGAGCTGTGGGAGGGGCTGGGGGCCCCCATGGCCCAGCCCCTCTGCCACTCCCACCCTCACTCTGGGGTGAGCGGAATCAGCCCCAGCCTTCCCTTGGCTGGCCAGAGCACAGGGGAGGGAGGCTGGTGCAACATGCTGCTTCTGCCTTCTCCCAGCCATGCAGAGGACAAATAGGCTGGGGTAATGCATTGCCTCAGCCTCATGCTTACTTGGAGGATCATGGAGGGGTGCATTCACACTCTTTGCACCCCTTGCATCCAGGCCTGGTCTTAGTATCAGGATATCTATTGTGTTCCTTGATTGTGGAGCCATATGTTTGTTTCCTGTGTGTAAGACACATAAATGCAATTAAATAATCCACAAGGCAGGAGGATAATCCTTTTCCTGGAAAGTCTGGTTGGTGCTATAGTACCAGCATTCTCAGGCCCCACACATACTTCATGGGAGCTTCAGACTTTCCATTTTAATGGATAAACATGGATAAAACACCCCAAACCAAAAACGAAATCAGTAATTATCTAGTAAACACTTGCAAAGCATAGTGCTGCTATAACTCATTACAGTACATGCAACAAGAAAGCTCCAGCCCCCAAATATGGGGATGTTTATACAAGTCAAAGGTTGCTAAAAAAACTGCATGAAATTAATAACCCCCAAAAAAGAAAATGCTCTGCCCAAACTAGTGTTTCTAAGAAAGAAGGACATTGCTAAAGTTTGTATAAACTAACAAATCCCTTAGCGACAGCGGAGCTGTCTGGCTTGCTTTCCTGCATTTACAAATTGAGTCCTTTATCTCTCTCTCTCACACACACACTTACTCACTCACTTTCTCAGATGGTTTTAAAACCAGGTAATAAAAAATAAACTATCTAGTCCAGCTGTTTACTGGAGCACACTCCACTCTGACTGCTTTTCAGGCCTGCCCCCTTCTCTCCCATTGTGAATACTGCATGGGGCGCAGAACTGCATATTTTTTGTTCCAACTGAGAAGAGAAAAATTGGAGGTGAAGAGACCAAAGGCTAAGTGTCGGGTTGGTGCCTTTCATGTACTTAAGATACAGCAGCTGCAAATTTGGCCCTGCTTGTGGCTCTCCCAGTTCACATGTCTCCTATGTGTCAGAGAGCCCTGGGGCTGTGCCTACCTGTTCACTGTCTCCTAGCTGGGGGCAGGGAAAGACCCTTTTCTTAAAATTAGTCTCATAGCAGAGCCTGGGTAATAATTGTTTTTATGAACTAACAGCAAAGCAGGCATGTAGTCGTGTGCATTCCACTCCCACCTTCTTGCACCACACTCCCCTGGCTAAGGTTATTTATGATCCTGTCACCAACCCCTATAAAGTCCTGAGTGGAAGTCTCATTTACTGCTGCTCTTTTAGCACCAGACCCAGCCCCAGCCCAGGAAAAGAAGCGAGCTCCCTTCTTGAGAGCTGTCTGAAATGAATCAGGACTCTGCTAAGTGCGCTCCTGCTCCTCCAGCTCTTTAATCCTCTAGCAACCTGGCCCTTTGATTAGATAATTGTGTTCAATTAGGCGAGAGGGGGTCTCGTGCCAAGGGGGGGGAGGTCTTGTGCC